TAGCATGTTTTATGATATCAAGTAGAGTTAGCTAACTTGCCCAACACTAGTTTGCTTGAATCTCACAAATAAGGCTAAAAGGTTAAAAGAGTTGCACACTATTATGTACAAAACGGATGAAAATATGTTTATACCTTGTTCAGATGACAGTGAAACCTCCTTCAGTTTCCAGCTAAGACTGCTGCTGCTGCTGTGAGATACCCTTCTCCTACGTCATCGCCGCCATTTTGGCTCCCCCTAGCGTTTGTGAAAAGGTCCGACTTCAAAGCTGTTTTTTTAACATAATTCATCTGAACATATCAAAATGAACACCCGAAATATTATAAACACATATTGTAGTTATATATTCTGGATAGCAGCATATTAAATTCTAGTACTACTTTAATACATCTCACTAAACTGTATGCTCAAGTCTTTGTGTTGTGAAAGAGCCGGAAACAAGAAGTGACTACAACGTACCCGCCCACAAGACGGAAGACAAAAACCAATTGGAACGCTGCGCGCGCTCTCTTGGCTCGCTTGTTCTCTTCTGCTCTTTGCCTCTTCTGGGTTTTCTCCCCTCACGTCCTGTGCCCGCAAGCTGGACTTGCGCGAATGAGCTCTACCAGGCTCTTTCAACTATCTGAACTTTGCTCAACTAAGTGGGATTAACGGCCTTCTTCCCTGTACGACAAGCTGGACGGAACGATACGCTACCCAGCCGTCTGCCACGGAGAACAACAACAAAGAAACCCCCTCCAGAGACTTCCGGGACCAAAAGCCGGACCACACGTGTTTACTTTACCAACAAAGGAACTATACTAAAAGCCATCTTCACACAGTAAGACGTATCGTTGAATGCCAATGTGTGTAAATGTATCTGCTTTTGGTTATGGTGTACATTTCTTTGATTCGTGACTCGCACTCAAAGATTCTTATGCTTTATTGAGGTTTTCGTTCTGTAAATAAACAGCTAGAATTACTATCAGCCTCCGGTGTTATTAGTTAGTAGTTTGGAGAATGAACTCTCTGGCGAATAGAACGCACACTTTTAGATTTATGAGACTGATTTAAACCGCTTATTCTTTAGTTAGGTCTTAAGACTTCTCTTTCCCCTCTCTCAGAATAAGCACACCCCTATAAAAAGGTAGATACAAGGACATTTCCAATCCAGAATAGTTACGACTGTGTAGATATGTTTTAGATATGCAGTGTATCCAAATGCACTGTGCATCTAAAGCATATACCCACACTTTATTACCCTATATATATAATATAACTTTGTAAAAACGAATGATTGCTGCAAATACAATTGTTTTAACAGAGAAAGTCCGTTGCAGAAGCATCATCTTTGGGTTTTCATAATTAAGACTAATTAAGATTGGAAACATCAGGGGAGCTCTCAAATGTGTCTCCGCGTTTCTACGCTCTGTTCTGGGCTTCAACCCCCCACTGTTAGCTAGCGCCGGAGCTTTGGCCTGGAAGAGATGTCCGTAATGTTCTATTTGATCACCAAACAGACCTCTGATATGACAAAAGATGGAAGTATTTCTCGCCTCAAATGTTATTAGAGTTAACTTTTTTTGTCCTAATTAAAGCGTATTTTAAACTTTTTACCTTCCATCACGGCCGCGGTGTTCTTCCCTCCGCTATGATCAAAACGCTCTCTTCCCTCTAGTGTTCTGGACGCGCATCCCGCGCCTTTAGAACGCTCAGTGACAGCGTCTGTCAGAATCTGTCACAAGCGACGTTGGACGTGATTTTGACGCCCGAAAAGCGTTTGGCCTGAACGCAGCATTAGGATAGTTGGTGGCAGCTGTCGGGCAACGCCGTGTCACAATCAAAGAAAACACCCGGGCGCAAGTATGTGCTTCGAAGCGTGAGCGAGTCATTCAGAGGTTTTTTTAAAGCATGTGTTGGTGCCGTAGGTGGTGACGTTCGCCCGTGAAGTGGCCGCACCATGTGATGTTCAATGGGCCACTTTAGAGACATGGATGCATGTTATTATAGATCCATGTATAGATGTAATTCAGAGAGTGCGTTGCTTTTACATTTTGCTTTGTGATCCGCGGCTGTACCCATCTGCGTCTGCGTGCGTGTGTGTGTGTGTGTGTGTCTCTGTGTGTGTACGTGTTTGTGCGAGATATGGAACAGTCCTGTACCTAAATATAGCTAATCTTCTTATGAAATACAATTAAAAATGTCAAACTTTAGTTAGACTTTATGAAACAAAGAATGTATTAATGTGTGGTGAAATCAGACACGGCAATGTGACGTGGAACACGTTAGCTGCATTGATTTGCAAACATGGGGTGTCCCCTATTTCACGGGTGTCCCATTTCTTAGGGGACATGTGCACTCCCCTATCGGAGGGCACTCAATACATGACTTTCAACCACGTGACCAAAACTAATGACGTAATCAGCGTCTGCCATGTTGGTGGTATACTGATTTGAAAAATCAATGGAAGCATACAACCTTTTGGTGTCAGGCTGGGTGAACAAGCTTCAGAAAAGGCAAGTTTATGTTGACAAATCAACCATTCCCAGAGAGCGCGAGAAACACCAGTGAAAACTTGGTTTGTGGTTGAGAATGACGGAAATGTTATGTTTGCGCACTGCAGCTGCATGGCTGGCCTTAATGAAGCTTGTTTGCAGGAGCACTGTTGTTTGCAGTGGAAGCCGCGGTGTGGAGGGTTCAGTTACCTGTTCCCAGGAGAAGAGCAAGTGGGTCATGCCAACCTATGTCAAACAAGTTCCCTATATTCCAATTTGTGAGATGGATTTCAAATCTGCAAAAACGAAACATAAGCAAAAACGTAAACCAAACAAGTCCGGGAAACGATAACATTTTTTTTTGCTGTTAGCACAATTAAACACGGCACAATTGTTTGGCATTGCTTGAAAGAACTTAAAGCCACCCTTTTTATAGCTGCTCCATATGAAAAAATATGTTAACTAATAACAATTTTTTTTAAGAATAAAGTGCCTTGCGAAAGTATTCAACCCCCTTGAACCTTTCAACATGTCGCCACATTTCAGGCTTCAAACATAAAGATATAAAAATTACATTTTTTGTCAAGAATCAACAACTAGTGGGACACAATCGTGAAGTGGAACGAAATTTATTGGATAATTTAAACTTTTTTAACAAATAAAAAACTGAAAAGTGGGGCGTGCAATATTATTCGGCCCCCTTGCGCTAATTTTCACTCTCAAAACGGCAATTTATGTGTAGTGAGCAATTGTCACCTGTAGAGTGCAGTACTGTGTTGGGTATCAGTGGAGAGAAGAGAGAAAAGGCAGTCCTGTGGCATAGATCCATGGTTTTCAATGCATGGGCGTTACCCGCTATGACGTCACACACAGGTTAGAGCATAGACAACTTAAATTCATGAAAAACACGTTCTTTTTATAAAATATAGGATTTTTTTTGCCGGAATCTATTTCAGATCGACATTGTCATGCAATTTTGATATCCACAATTTAAAAAAAAAACCCGGCATAAGGTCTTTAAGAAACTAGATTTCTAAGAAGACCCTACGTGGGATTCATCAATGCGCTCGTAAACCGCTGAATTGTTTGCAGCTGTTCTCTTAGATTGATGAATGCTATTTCCTTGTAAGTAGAGCGCGCGTTGGTACCAATTAGCATTGGTAGCAAGTACCAATGCTAATGAAGCTGCCCGGTGCTTCATTAGCATTGGTACTTAGCATAGGTAACCGCCCATTAATGGCCATAAAAGGCACTGCAGGACGTAGACGCCAGAGGAAACAGCAACATGCCTAAAGCAAAGAGTTACACGGAACAAAAGAGTCACCCTTTTTTCTTCTGAGACTGAGACTGAGAATAAAGTTATACAATGTTGACTTTAAAGTCAAAATATTATGAGAATAAAGTCGAACTAGCAAAATTATGAGATTAATATAAAAATATATTATGTTTTAATTTAAAATTGAATCTCAAAATGTTATGAGATTAATCTCGAAATATTTTGGACCCTGGGAGGAGATCCAGCGCTGAGACCAATGCAGACCCGAGGAGAGACCATATAGACTGGAAAGACGAGCACACAGAAACCAGCGCGGGCCGAGGAGAGACTGCATAGATTGAAACCAGCGCGGACCGAAGTGAGACCACATAGACAGGAGAGACCATATGGAGAGACCAGCACGGTCCTGTAATAGATCCGTGGGAGAGACTCAGAGCGGACCCCGCAACCTCCTGCTGCAGCAGTATATATGCCATTGTTTTGTGACCCGTGGATGGAGAAATGTCCCCTAGAAATAGGATGGGGTCACTAACGGCATGATTTCCAATGTATTTGATAACGCGTTGGCACATTTAGTTTACAAATTAATTTAAAAAATGACTAAATTACCATAAACAATGAAATAAATAAATACATCAATATGACAAACATATCACTGTAATGTTGTATTTTATGGAACTTCACAACACCAGCGTGCGAACATGTCTGCACTGAATGTGCGTACGAGTGCTCCTGAGCACTCGTAGGATTTGTACTTACCCAAGAGAAATTCTGGTTACGAGAAATATTCGTGAATGCCACATTCTTTGTAAAATCCTCGTAAGTAGGATTTACACACAAATTTGTTAAGAACCGTTCGTGAATGAGGCCCATTGTTGCTGTAACCGTGCCTTCACAAGTTTGAAGAAGGAACCATGGAGAACCACAGTTGTATAAAAGAACCATGGAGAACCACATTTATGTAAAAGAACGATCCAAACAACAATCATTTTGAAAAATAATTATGCAGAAGTCCAGTGTCATTGCAGCAAAGTCAACATCGCAAACCACACGCACCAAAAGACACCAACTGAGAGTTGTGACATTAGAGAGCGTGACCATACAGCTACCGCAGCGTACTATACCACCAACATGGCCGACTTTTAGTAAGCTGAGCTTTGTTTCACAGGATGTGACGTCACGTGAAAGTCATGTATTGGGGACTCAAAATTGGGACAGGCCTTAGCCTTAGTGCTGTGTTTGTGTTTCAGTGAGAAGCTGTTGGATTTCCTGTGGTCGGTGAAGCAGTCGGACGGGTCTTTTGTGATGCACATCGGGGGAGAAGTTGACGTTAGGTGAGACACGGGTAACAAGACTGACGTGAAAGCAGCAGTTTATCTGTTTGTTGCCCAGTTTTTAGAATTCGTCTCAATCAAAGCTGGTGCGCCTGTCTTCTCCCATAAATGACGCACCAGCTTTGATTGAGCTGGTGCGCAAGAAAACACGTTATATTTTTCATGCTTTCATAAAGCCCTGTGAGTTACTAATTGACTCTTTGGGCTGGAACCTGATTGGCTGATTGAGGGTGGTCCTCTGTTTCTCACTTTTCTGTCAGAAAAAATCTTATCTAAAGAAGTGACAGAGGCAACTTGCGTATTTTTCGCACCATTAGGCGTTGACAAAGTCTTTAATTTTAGCAGTGCACCTTCTAATCCTGTGCGCCCTATCTATGAATTTCTGAATATATATAGCTCGGTCTGTAAACAGTTTTAATGCCAAATTAGAGAAGTCTGAGCCGGTGTGTTGTCGAGTTGGTCTGCCCGTTGAGATGAGCTCCCTCAGCTGTTTATGATGTAATGCAAACCTGCGCATGCGCTTCTCACGGCAGCCGAAGCAATCCATGATGGCGGACCTAAAGTCAGTGAGTTGTGTAAAAAGTTTAAATACTAACGAATAAAGACATGAATGTCACTTTTAATGCAATTTGAGGCAAGATGTTGATGGTTCCATGTTGTTACATGTGGGTTCTAAGAGTCAAATGCCATGTCCATACGTAGCCGGGTAATTTTAAAACCAAATATTTCCCCCCTTCCGTTCATAAAATAACTTGCATCCACACCTAACCGAACATCTGCGTTTTCCATCACATTCATAACATTCCAAACTTGTGCCTCCTCTGACGTCCTGTCCTGCGTTGGGGGAAAAACACAAAAGGGGGCGGAGCTTTGACGCTGACGCCGGTACTTTTGTAGCGGCACTTTTACAGTCACAGAAGAAACTCAGGGTAAAGTCATATGTTTACAAGTCCTGACCCCTGCCCTCAGCCCTGGTTTAGTCCTAGTTTAGCTCCTGTTTTAATTGTTTTCGAGCGTGTGTCCGCGTGATCACTTTGCTACTCTATGATGTGGAGCAAACCGCTCGCAGCTGTTTTTAAGGCAGTAAGTTCCATCCTTCTTCATTGATCAGTGGTCGCACGTTTGGTTTGTTTGTTGTTGTTTTGGGGGCATACTGTGATGTGCAAAAACGCAAAACTCCGGTTATCTCAGTCTACACGCAAATGCATAAACTTTTTTTATGCATTTGCTTTTTGAGTTTTCAAAAAATCTCCACTTTGGTTTTTATGTTTTTGATTATGATGCATTTTCATGTGGATGACAGGTGCAAACAAAGTAAAAACATATCTGCAGTTTAGCAGATACCTGGCTATGTGTGTACAGGGCCAAAGTTTCGTGTAAAGTTTGGTTTATGTAGTCAACTGCTCCTCTGAAACCACACTGCCACTTTGTGATAGTAATGCCTTTCCTGGCGAGCTGCGGCTTACGTCATTTTACTGACGTAGGCCAATGACGTATCCAGTGGCTAACTCGACAGGTAACACCCCAGTCGACAACCCGACTGGCCTGTTGGGTTGATAATGGAAATAATAATGAAAATAATAAGTCAGCCACATACGTCAGTAAAATGACGTATACTGCAACTCAACTCGAAAGGAAAGGTACTGCTATCACAAAGTAGCAGTGTGGTTCAGGAGCAGGCGACTACTTAATAGCTGCACTAACTGACTTTGAGAAATTTTCTAATGCGAGCGATGGCCTCGCGATGGCCTCGCCCTCCCCGCACGGAGATTTCCTCCCCCTCAGCCTGTGCTTAGCCTGTGCTTATGTGTTTACGGAGCTAGCGTCTCACAATATGCTTTGCACATTTAAACGTGGATGGCGTGTCCATAGAATGATTGAACCGGGAAGCGCGGAGGAACGAGACTTTCTTTTGGATGGCTGTTTCGCTGTGTAAGCAATACCCGGGAATGAAGACACGGAAAGCTTCAGGTTAGCCTCCACAGCTTGTTTACCTCAGTTGTCTGTGCTAACCACAGACTTGTGGCTTTTCTCAAGAAAGTGGGGGCCAGTGGTCCGCTGTGATTGGTGGTCGCTGTGATTGGACCCGAAACACATTCTCTTCCTGGTTGCACCAAAACTTGATCTAAAATAAAATGACACGGCAGCACAAATCTGCGCTACTTTTTCTTCATAAGGACGTATATCCCAATGCATTGCATGGATATGGATTGAATTTTCGTAATGAATAAAAAAATAAAAAAGTTGGGTAATGCAGCTTTAAACCAAACTTTACACGAAACTTCGACTCTTAAAACCCACACATCGCAACATGGAACCATCCACATCTCGCCTCAAATTGCATTAAAAGTGACATTCGTTCGTATTTAAACTTTTTACACAACTCAGAATTTATGTCTGCCATCTTGGATTGCTTTAGCTGCTGTGAGAAGCGCATGCACAGGTTTGCATTACATCATAAACAGCTGAGGGAGCTCATCTTGACAGAACACCGGCTTCGAAGCCGTGAAATAATGCGGCGCAAATACGAGACGAATGCATTTGATCGGGCCATACAACTCACTACACAATTTTGGGTCTAAGGCCTGGACTCCACCGTTGACGCGCGTTGTCTGCTGTCCATCGGCCTAAGGCCCAGACTCCACCGGACGGATCCGTCCAAACATGTCCGTTTCATCTCCGTCTCTGTTATCTCCATGAGAGTGATTGGAAGTGGCTCCACTGCCTCCAACATCCGTGACGGATTCCGTCAACGGAGGGTGCAACGGACGCGGACGGACGAAATAGAAACAATCCTATTTGTTCCGTCCGTCGACGCGTGTCGGGTCCGTTTTCCATTGAAAATACAATGGAATCATATATTTACGACATTATTAAACATGTATATATGCTGTGGTCCTGTTTATAAGTGTTTGTTAATGACAATGATTATTAACAGACGTGTGTAATTTTTTTCATGTATTAATTTAAATAATTGTTTCCTGATTGTACATCTACCATTTATTTTTTGCGTAATGTTAATACGCTAAACTTTACATACACCTCGCTCTTTTTTCTTTCGCTCTGTCCCGTCTACCTGCGAGGCGCTCTCTCCTCACCGAACACACACACATGCACGCTCACACACACACACATTTCACACAGAGCTGCACTTATGAGAGACAGATCTCACAACACTGGATATGTTTTCTCTTTTCTCTCACCTTTTTCCAATTGCTTTCAATAAGTTTTGCCTCATCCATCGTGACGTCCTCAATGCTTCAATATGCTGTGCTTTGCATAGATCATAGCCACAGCTCATACAAATCACACACCGCTTCTTCTATTTAAAACTATAGCGGCTGCCTGTTGCCTAAAGCCGCGGAGAGGCGAGTTGGGTCCGATAAAAGTGTATCACGCACTAAATAAGTATAGAAAACAAACGAAGAGGCTGGATCATAATAAACGCTGCGGTCACAGGCCCAAACACACATGCACGCACGCACACGCCTCCCACCACACACACACACACACACAGGCGCTCTCACGCCCACGCTCACGCACACATGCACGCCGACACTACATGACCCCTCCATCAGCCAAACATTCATTTATTCACACAATGCCCAAATGTGTCTCCTACAAAAACAAAGCAGGCTGATAAACGCACAGCCAGAGCTGTGCGCTGCTGCAGCCGGTTTGACCACTAGTCCAACGCCCGTCAACGGAGACGCGCCCGGTGGAGTCCTGGCCTTACAGTCTTTGTTTGTGTTCATGCACTTCGTTGTACGATCCAAATAACTTTTATTCACTCTTGTTTGTAAAAAAAAAAAAAAAAAAAAAACTACAGAAGTGCATGTGCGTCCATTTAAATAGTCCGTGTGAAACAACAACCGTTCCTGTGCTTGTGTGCACCAAGTGTTCCCAGTTAACGCTACAAACATCTCTCGCTAAAACTAAAAACACATTTTTGAAGAGACGTGCTAACAAAACTGATTTGAAGATACATTTTCCATGACGCAGTTGAGCATGGTATTAGCTAAGATGCTAATAGCATTGCAGCTGTATTTGTTTTCATATTTCATAATTCTTTCATTTTCATAGCCAAGTTGTTTGTTTTAATGATACTACTGAAACATGTTGAGTTATTTAAGCTATAGAGTATATACCGGTTAATAAGTTGAGTCATGTTTTGCCCAATGATCTGATGGCTTTGTTTCACTTAAATGGGCACTAACTTTATTAAAAACATTTTTTTTTCCTGATAAAACACATTAAAAGAATTTATTTCCCACCTTTGCGATGTGTTTTTGTGTTATAGATAAGTAATAAATCAATAAAATAACGTTTTAATATCAATGCCTTTGATTGGCCAGAAATATGATGAAACTGACCGCATCCGCAAACCGGGTCGAGACGGGTCGGACCATGACATGACTCCAGCTCGTGGAAACTGCCCTACCCACTAAACATCCGACGTCCACTCAACCTCCAGATCACGTCAATATCGCGTTGGTCGGTCGTGACCTTTTATTCAGGTCCAAACGACGTCTGTGTAAGGTGCGCATCTGGACGTAAAACAATGACCTCCCATAGACGTGGATATGACGTCCAATCCCGACCTCCCCTAGACGTGGAAAACAGGTCATTGACCGACGCATTACGTCTTGATCTAGCAATAGAACTGATCAGTGTCCGACGGTAATGTAGTGGTTAAGCAAATGTGTGTGACTGTGGTAACGTGAGTTCGATTCCACGTGTGTGCTTTATTAACTTTATATATTTGTTTCAATTTTTAGCGAACAATTTTTCTAAGACACTCAAACTAATAAACACTCAACATAGGATTATGTAGTGGCTAATAATAAAACTTGTGAACTTATGCATTTGTTGTGCTAACAATCTCAAGTTTGCAAATAAGGGCTGAGCACTTGAGATTGTATGCAAATGTATAAGTTCACAAGTTTTATTATTAGCCACTACATAATCCTATGTTGAGTGTTTATTAGTTTTTAACCAAA